CCGTCCTCGCTCCCCATTGGTCCCCGCCGGGGCCGCCGGCGCCGTTCTCGCTCCCCATTGGTCCCGGTGCGAGGAGGGGGCGTGGCCTCGCCCCCGCCATGGCGGCGGCGCTGGAGGAGGCCGCGGGCACCGTGTGCTGGTGGGGGCTGTCCCCGGCCATGGATCTCCGCCAGCACCGTGAGCGCGGGGCCCTCACCCACCCTCACACCGGGGCCGCCTTCGCGGGACCCCTCCCGGTGCCCGGCTCCTCCGTAACCGCCCCCGTTCCCCCCCGCAGTGCCCCCGGACACGGACCCCCGGGACCCCTCGGCGGAGGCCCCGGTGCTGCTGGTGGGGGCGGCCGAGGGGCGGCACGTGCTGCTGACGGCGGCCCGGGCCCGGCGGGACCCCCCCCTCGCCATCACCGTACGGCACCGGGACCGGCACCGGGGGGGGGGGGGGGGGGAGGGGGGGGGGGCTCGGGAGGGCAGGGACCAGGATCCCGGTTCCGGGGTCGATACCGCGGTCCCGGCGGGTCCCCAGTGCTCGGGGGGTGGGCGGGGGGAGTCCCAGGGGGAGTTACCGGGGGTTTCCCGGTGTTACCGGGAGTTTCCCGGTGCTCGCCCCCCTCCAGCTGTTCGTGGCCGAGCAGCGCCCCGAGCCCGTGGCGCGGCAGCTCCTCTTCCTCCTCCTGGCGCTGGAAGCCCCGGGACGCCCCAGACCGGCAGGTAACGGGGGACCCCCGGTGATTCCCCCCGGTGTTCCCCCGGTAACCCCCCGGTAACCCCGCCGTTCCTCCAGCCCGCGCCGCCGCCATCCTGGAGCTCCTGGGCTCCGGGAGGCTCCGCGCCGGCACCGCCGCGATTCTCCGCGGGGCCGCCGGGCGCCTCCGCCGCTGGGTCACCGGGGACCGGGACTGGGAGCGGGACGGACCCGCCGACCTGGGGCTCATGAAGGTCAGAACCGGGGCTCTCCGGTACCGGGGGGGGTCCCGGGGGTATTGGGGGGGGAGGTCCCGGCTCTCTCCGGTGCTCGGGAAAGGGCAGGACCGGGGTGGAACCGGGGTGGGACCGGGGCTGTCCGGTGCCGGGGGGGGTCCCGGTGCCGTACCGGGATCCTCCTCCCCTCCCGCAGTGCCGGGACCGGGACGCGCTCGAGGCGGTTCTGCGGCGCTGGGAGCGAGCGGGGCCGCCGGTCCCGGGGTCCCGGGGGGGGTCTGGGACGGTCCCGGAGCCGGTCCCGGGACCCCCAGGGTGGGACCGGCGGCTGCGGCGGCGCCTCGGGCCCCGCTACGACGCGAGGGCGGCGGTGGCGGATTGGGAGCTGCGGATGGGGCTGCACCCCCGGGGGGTAACGGGGGGCACGGGGGGG